GGAGTACGTCTAGCATTTCCCTTAATTTAAACATAAACAGCAGGAGAGGAGATAGTTTTCTTTATGCCCTCGACTAAACAGCAAGAGATGGCATGTACTTCGTACTAAAATAATCACTTACAAGGGGTCGAGGAATAAGTTTTGAGGAAGGCATGGAGGTTTATGAATCATCTTATCCGTAGATTCAGCAAAACCCGATGACTCCCAATGGATGATAAGAACTGTGTGATCATACCCAGTAGAGAAATACAGAAGAAAGAAACATCCCGAGTGGAATATGACTAATTCCACTTAAAACAAGAGTTCAGAGGCTAACATAAAGAAGAATTTAACTTTCCACCGGCTTCCCAGACCCAGAATAGTCTTTTCAACTATGCCATGAATACTTCAAAATGTCTAAGATACAACTAATAGATGAAGATGCAGCCAGTAAATATTATACAGGAGTAAAATAACGACATGTTTGGTACTCATGATTGGACTGGACGGACAATGAAAAAGAGTTCAAACATTGTTTCCTTAACATTACCGAATACTTTCCAGTACACTACCAAATAATGCATTAATGTCCATCCATATCAGATTGGAAAGCCCCAAGTGATCAATTTACGTGGATAACATGATCTAGACTATTAGAACTCGTCCTGCATTGGCATATGACTTCCCAAACCAGGATGTCAGCTTTGACCACCTATCCGCTCATCATCAATTAATATCGATATGCAAAATTTATAGGGTACAATGATTTATGGAAAGCCCCAAGTGACCATGTTACGTGGATAACATGATCTAGACTATTAGAACTCGTCTCCCATTGGCACATGACTTCCCAAACCAGTATGTCAACTTTGACCATCTATCCTCTCATCATCAATTAATATTGATATGCATAATTTATAGGGTACAATGATTTATGGACACAGTAAATTGCAGTTGGAATGCATACCTAAACCCCGTATATTTCTTGTATGGTAATTTTCATGACAAAAAGCTCTTCTTGCCACTTCCAACATCTTATTGGCATAAATGTTTCAGCTTCTTAAAAACCTTATCGGGCATTACTAAAGCTGTTAAAGAACTATGAAATCCATTGATGAATTATTATAACCATGTCTCGGCCAATCTTGTGGTGTATTCAGCACTGCTGGCCTTTGAATTGCGACAGACGATCATTTCTCGGCTGCAACCAATCCTTGATGATTCTACTTGACTCAAGTCCACCAATAGAGAGGCAATACTAAAGAAACATCTAACGAAATGAATCTTATTTATGAATGTCAAGGATATTGAATAAGATTACAGA